ATTGACCCACCTATTCCCCACACCCCCAAGGATTGTACTGAGTTGACCCCCCTTATCCTCCCAGCCAATCGGAATCCACCATTTTTTGACCTCATTTACATAATGTCCTAGATATTGACCAGGCCATCCAGCCTGCTTCCGGCTAGGACATTTATGGATAAACCACTTCTGCTAGGGCCCACTTCCGCTTCCGCTAGACCACTTAGGGTCCAGCTAGACTACTTCCGCTTCCGACTAGGCCAATTCCGCCCATTTCCGGTTAGCCTACTTCCGGTTATGACGTCACATCCGCCATAGCTAGGATCTTTATACTACTAACATTAGTAGTAATGACTTTGAAAACTTCATAAGTCAAAGAACATAGTTCATTAGCATAAGGATTTTTGATAATCAGTGTTACCGTAGTTCTCTACACATACGAGGTAAAGCAGGAGAGGGAACCAGACTGGCGTGTTTGTTTACATTCAGCTGCGGTACCAGATTAATTCTGATTCTGACAAAATTGGACCGTGGTATTAGGATTGAAAAACTCACTGTCAGTGTCTTCTCATTTATATTGATAGTTTTAAAATATTTTTTTCATCAGAATATAAACGTGATTCATGTAACAAATCCATTCAACTCTGTAAATGAGCCCGGCTCTCTGTACTTCTGAGTACTTTGATTTTTTTTTTTCGGAGAGCTACTGTACAGTTCTGCGGCTACCTGAAACCAAGCGCCTATAAAATGTCATGTAGTGGAACTCTTCAACTCTAGGGAAGAAACCAATCAAGTTCAAACTAATTAAGATCATAGGCGCTCCCCATGTAATTCTGTAATTGACGAAAGATAAGTGGGTCTACCCCTCTATAATTTTATAGTATAGAGGGATAGACGAGGGATAGACCTATATAAAGCCTACTTGTCTTTCCATTTACAGAATTACATGGCAGTGGCGGATTCAGCCCCCCGCGCGCTCATTAATTTTTTTTTTACAAGACTTAGTGTCATTTTATCATTTTGATGCATTGATAAGACTCTAATAAATATGAACCCTATCTTCTGTACAACTGTGACATATACATCAACTACGTCACACCCGCTTGAACGCACAAATACATGTACTTAGGTAATCAACAGAGAGAGTGTCTCAGAGATCGGGAAGTCCGTGTGCATCTACATGTAGTGAAGTCACAAGATCACAGTACAATATATATAGTCAGGTACCAACAACAGAAAACTGCATATTTACAGTGCTGCTCAGTTATAAGATTCCTTTTGCTGATAAAATGCATGTTTTTTAACTATGTGAATAAACTATTATTCGGGTTTATATTTTACCGTTTTAAAAATTATATCAATACCTTTTTTTACAAAACCAGGTTGGCTTAGCAAACCCCTCTAGTTTTGACAGGTTCTCCAGTTTATGTTATTTTTTCTTCAGTTTGAAATATCATTAAGTGTACATGTGTGTTTATTTTCCAAATCATATTGACAGTATACTCAAGTTGAAAAACACTAGTTGAGGATTATAAAAAAAATTTAAAGTGTTTAAAATTGCACATTAGTTGTACCTTGGAAGTCAGGCTTGACATACGACTAAATGAATATGAAGGTGCATTTAAAGTGAAGACAGTTTGAAGTCAACTGCTTGTATTCCTAAAATTGTCAGATTTAACATTTTTTTTAAAGCAAAGTCTAAAGTCTTGTGTTAAATAAAGCTAAAATTAAATTGAATACATTTTATTAAGAATTTGTGATGATTGGTCTTTTATTAAAAAGCTACAAAAGTACCCCGAAAAATGCTGGAAAATGCACCATTTAGAAACATTTTAAAAAACAAAATTTTCTAGATACTGCTGGGGCCCGTTTTACAAAACTTTCGTTAAGATATGTTTCAAATTGTATATTCCTTTTAAAAAAATTAAAACCATTTTCAATTAAATAATGTAAATTATAAAGTTATAAGCAGAATTCAATTTTGGTCTTAGTCTTGAGTTTCTTTCGTAAGACGTCGATAGACAGCCGAGCGTCGACTATAGCCATGCCAAGGGGGAGTACTCGAAGTGTCGCAGTCGGAAATCCTCGGCTGACCACACTTTCGGTTTCGGGTGTTATGGGAATACCTATTATGCAGCGCAATTCACTGGTAGGTTGTCAGTAATAGTGTAATACTAATAGATTATGATTTTATTAAAACAAGATTTAAAGATTATGATTTTATTAAAACAAGATTTAAAGATTAAAACAATAAAAATCATATCTATGAATTTGAAAGTTTAAAAGTTTTTTGCCATGGTAATATGTGTGTTTCGTTATCAATTTTGTAGGTCAGCTGCTTGTCATTGTAGACCGGTAAGCAGGTAAGATGATTAGGCCAATTTTTTGTTTTGATTTTTTTATTCAATATATGTGCATAAATATTTTGGATTAAATCTACCTTTTATATCTTGAAAGTTTTAGTAAATAATAAAGATTTATTAAGCTGAGTTGATTTTAATTCTTTTTTTTTTTTTACTTGTTACTGTGTAAATCAACCTTTCATGACTGCACATGCGCAGAAAGTACTTGCATGATGATGTACATATAAGAAAACACATATATGCAAAACATGGTTATATAATTTTACTGTTCTTCTGCTTTCTAAGGATATTCCCCTAAAAATGACTGAAAACCATTTTAAAAAATTACAACCTGGGGAGTTGTGTCCCTTCAATAGCAATGGCTGGGAGACAATGAAGAATCAGCACAATTGTCCAGATCCAGAGTTTTATCACTGCATTCCTAACCAGTACAACGAGCCGGGGGAGATCTGTGTCAAACCAGACTGGGCGTCAAATAGTAAGAACTCTGTACACTAACTGATTTATAATCGATTGGAAAGACTGTCGATTTTAGACAATCAATTGGAGATTTTAACAATTTTATTTGGTGTACTACAGCGCATATATTTTTATAGTTTTCTAACTTTTATTATACCCACGGTGACGTAACTAGTTGCATAAGGTATAATGTTTTTGACCCGTCCGTCAGAGAGTCAGAGTGTCAGTCAGTCCTTTTTTAGGTCACCTGAGTAAACTCAGGTGACCTATTGCTATCTGTTTTCGTCCGTCGTCGTTCGTCGTGCATTAACATTTGAACATTTTCAGCTTCTTCTCAGCAACCACTGAACCAATTTCAACCAAATTTGGCACAAAGCATCTAAGGGTGAAGGGGAACGAAAATTATGAATTTCATGATCCCTGCCCCCCTGGGGCCTGAGGGGTGGGGCCAAAACCACTAAAATTAATGCAATCTTTAAAAATCTTCTTCTTTACTCCTGGACATCAAGCAGTCAAACTGTTTGCATGATTGTAATCAGAAATGAGTCCTCTATTAAAATTGTGAAATACATGGCCCTGGGGTCAGGGGTTCTAGTGCTAGGGCGGGGCTAAATAAGTAGGTAGTGAAAATGCATTATTTCTTTGAAAATCTTCTTCTCTGCTCCTGGGTATTAAATAAACCAACTAAATACATAGTTATGATGAGCAAGAGTGCCTCTACCAAAATTGTGAATTTTATGGCCCCAGGGTCAGGGGTTCTGGTGTTAGGGCGGGGCTCTATTGATTATATAGTGAAAATACATGAATTCTTTGAAAATCTTCTTCTCTGCTCCTGGGTATTAAATAAACTAGCTAAATACCTAGTTATGATATGCAATAGTGCCTCTACCAAAATTGTGAATTTTATGGCCCCAGAGTCAGGGGTTCTTGTTTTAGGGTGGGGCTCTAATGATTATATAGTGAAATGCATGAATTCTTTGAACATCTTATCCTTTGCTCCTGGTTAATATGCTAATGATCTAATTACAGATTTAAGGCCAGGAGTTATTTTATTTTCAGTTTTACAAACCCTCCGCTCAAGGTTTTGAATTTTCAGAAAAAAATAAAACAATTTTTTATTTCCGATGTCAAATTTGAGTCGGGATCGACATTTCAAATTTACGAACTCGCACTTCCGGTTTTACGATGAAACGGCGGGTAAATAAAGCTAAATCTGAGAAGATAGCTTGGTTTAGTGTAAAATTCATTGATAAGAGTGCCATTCAAAACGTTTCACCCGTTCAAAGGACAAATAAAATGCTGACGACTTTGTTGCACAATGAAATGCTGGTGAGATAATTATGTATTCGTTTCAAAAGTAACTGTAAATTATTTTCCTCCCTGATGTTTTAAACTGCCCGTGGTAGCTATTGCATATTGCCAGGGACATTGTCTAGGTCTCTGTTATAGCTCACAGTCTAAGCATCATTCTTCAGAAAAGGGTTGCTTATGCATCAGATGTAATGAATAAAACTATTGGAGAAGTGAAGTCCATTTGAGGAAGAAATAAACAATAACCTGAAGAAATAAACAAAAAATTCAACTATTAAAAGGCAAGAATGTACAACTATATACAGGCATGTAGTATCATTTGTATCAGCCAGAAAAATTATTTTACACTTAATTGAAAAAAATGTTGACCCTACTCCCCAATACTCCCTGTCTGTTTTATGATAGGAATTATAATTTTAGACATCAAGTAAATTTTAGAACATTGTCTACACATTCACCTAACACATATTAAAAAAATGAAGATATATTGAAAGACTTTTAAAGAATTGATTTTTATACGCCCGTCTTAAGACGGGACGTATTATGTTATAGGCTTCGTGTCCGTCCGTCTGTTAGCTTTTCTCGTGTCCGGCTCATAACTTTAATACTATAAGGCCTAGAGTTATCAAACTTTGTCAGCTGATACATCTTGGGTAGAAGGTGTGTCGCGCACAAAAAGTAGGTCGCTCTGACCTATAATTAAAAAGTTATAGCCAAATATGGAAAAATCCTGTCCGGTCCATAACTAGAAAACTATTAGACTTAGAATCATCAAAAGAATCATCAAACTTGGCCAGTTTATGCATCTTAGGTAGAAAGTGTGTCGTTACCTATTTCAAGGTCACTGTGACCTTTAATGTAAGTGGAATTTTAAAAAAAAATGTTTTTTTTTCTATTCATTTACACATTCAAAAAAATATAAAACTATTGCACTAACCTTATTAGAAAAATGTTAAATCAAGAAAATACTTATTTTTTTAGCATATACTTGACAGCAATCTATAACAAATATAATGTATGTTAGAGAAATTTCACCACTCCCATGAGTCTAATTATCAAGCACTGTTCAAGAAGAATTTTGATAACAGAAAAATTGCATGTCAAATTATAGAGAGAAATTAATGAGTTTAGTGTGAGGAGTAGCTGTAAGAGCATCGGTGCTATCTATATCCCTTGAGTATTGGGCCAAATGGGTAAGCCTGTTGGATTAAAAATAGCTCTTGTTGGCTAAGCAATTCGGAAGTTTTAAAATAAATTTGATGAGAAGTAATTAAAACAAATTTGATATTGCATATTAAACTATTTTGATATTACATAATATTATGAACTTAAAAATTAATTTTATGGGGGTAGGGGTGGAATCTGCATGTCCATATGAATAGCATATTAACAATTAACTGTCTGACATTAAATCTAAAAAAAAAATCATTGATGTTTTATATGTTTTAAAAATGTTTTATGGTAGATAGTGCAGATCAAATAATCTTTTGGGAGTAATGAGTAGACAAGCATCCAGTTAAAGATTAATTAATGTGTTCAATGTAGGAAGGCTAGCTGCATGTCTCTTTCATTTTTTCAGAGCATGGTCTTATCTGTATCCTTTGGGAATTAGACAGAAGAACTGTTGGTCAGTTTATATTTGATGGCCAGCCTTTTATTTCCAAAATTAATTAGGTATAGATTAAGTTGTGAAGACTAATTTGATATTGTTTAATATGATAGGCATTTGGCAAGGTATAGAAATTTATGAATGATGCAATATTTGTTATAATTAATGCCTACACCACAGGAGATGGATAAACAAATTTTTTAAGGAGTGTAAAAATCATTGAAATCTTAAAATCAAGGTTGACATGATTTTCCTGCACTTTTAACTGTTTAAGATACATTGTAATTGTAATTTTTTGACGGGCGTATCATGCTGTGGCGTGGCACTTTATTAAAAATATATTTTGTTCAATATCACGAAATTTATATAACTGGCCCAAACTGGCAGATGATGAAATAAGCAATTAAATGTTCTACTTTCCTATTTGTAAGCATTATGTGTCCAGTGGTAAGGAGCCTATTTGAATAGCATAAAAAAGAATTTACAAATGTTAATAATTGATTTATCAACAAAAATTTTTTTTATTTCCTTCTCCTTCGGGACTTTTTTATTCTCATGTTCATAATTAAACCTTAACATAAAAAAAAATGCTGGCATTCTAATGAAGAAAGGGGCCTCTTTCAAAATAGATAATTTCAGGGCTGCTGGGTCAGGGGTACCAGAGGGGTACTTTGACTAAAAATAGATTAATGCTTTGAAATCTGCCCTTTGATAAGCAATGGTGCCTCTTTCAAAATTTGTAAATTTCATGGCTTTTGGATTAAAACACGAACCAAATACAATTGCTGGAAAGTTGTTACATGATACTCAGGTGACCTATAGGGCCCTTGGGCCTCTTGTTTTGTCAGCGCAACTCCTCATAAACCGCTGCACAGAATTTCGTCAAACTTTGCAGGTATTTAGGACACAATGTGTAGATGTGCATATTACCATGAAATTCCGATTCCATTATTTTTTCCTGGAATTTCCGCACTTTTTAACTTAGGCATTTGGCCATACCTTGAATATAGAGATGAACAGTTTGTCAGCGCAACTTCTCGTAAAAAGCGCTGCACACAGTTTCGTCAAACTTTGCAGGTATTTAGGACACAATATGTAGATGTGCATATTTCCAGGAAATTCCTATTCCCTTTTTTCCGGGAATTTCCGCACTTTTTAACTTAGGCATTTGGCCATACCTTGATTATTTCAGATTCCCTATAAATCAAACAAACAATATGGATGTTATTTTGCTTGTTTAATATGGCGCTTCTGGCCGCGGTGATCAATTTGCTGGGGCTACCACAGGGCTGCCCCACAATCAACAATCAATACAACAAATGTGACGACCCAAATCGGGCGGATCATGCACTGGGTAGATCACAAGTGCATGAACGTCACCAATGCAATAATCAATCAAATTCAATCAATCAATTATTAATCAATCAGTCAATCAATCAATTCAAATATCAATCAAGTCAATTACTTGTCAATCAATCCATTATTAATCAATCAATCAATTCAAATATAAATCAAGTCAATAAACAATGGAATGAGCGTAAGAATATGTGTTGCACTCGTCCAATTGCGTTGAGGTGCGACGGAATACGCAAACACTAGGAATTCCAACCACGACAAGGCTGAAGTGGACGGTATCCCAAACAGCCAGTCATCACGGTATAGGTAAAACAGAGACTTCATCACCGCGACATTGGTTGATGCGGAATCCAAAACAGGTAGTCATCACGGTATAGGTAGAATAGAGACCTCATCACCGCGACATTGGTTGATGCGAACGCTGTACCCAACAGGCAGTCTTTGAAGAATACGCAATCATACAGAATTCACTAATGCAACACAAGTTGATGAAGACGCTGGACCAAACAGGGCACCATTGAGGAATATTGGAGCACACGATTATCACTGCGACATGGGATGTTGTGGACACAGGCCAAGCAGGAAGTCTTCAGCTACAATGACATAACAGGAACAGCAGTATTTGTTCTAAAACAAGAGGAGGGTGGGTGGGGAAAATTAAAATATTGCAACAATTCAACTTCACAAAATTTTCCATGACCTTACCGTTTTATCGATTAATCAAGAAAGGAAGAGGAGGAAAC